CTCACGCCTGTAATCCTACCTACTCGGGAGGCTGAGATCTGAGGATTGCAATTCAAAGCCAGTCCAGAAAGGAATCTGTGAGATTCTTTCCTCCAATTAACTACAATAAAAGCCATAAATGAAGGTATGGTTCAAAGTTATAGAGCACTAGCCTTGAGTAAAAAGAGCTCAGGGACAGCACCCAGGCCCTGAGTTCAATCCCCATGGCTGAAAAACAACAACAAAACAGGAAACGGGGTTGCTAGAATAGCTCAAGTAGTAAAGGGTCTCAAGTGGTAAATCACCTGCCTAGCAAAAGTGAAGCCTTGGGTTCAAAACCCTAGTACTACCCCTCCCCCAAAGAAAGGAAATCAGTCATCTCTCTAAGGACTAATAAAATCAACTGTTTTAGTTCTTTGGATATCAGAATTCCAGGCTCCCTGGCCTTTATTCTTTTTTGTCTGTCCTGAGGATTGAACTCAGGGCCTCATACTTGCAAGACAAGCACCGGTACCTTGAGCGAGGCCCCTGGCCCCTGCCTGACATCCACCCTTCAGAACTTACACAGCACTCCCCACTCCTACCCTGGGTTCTCTGGCTTTGAGCCTTAAACTTAACTGCACCATTGCTTTCCTGACCTTCAGGCTCCCAGCCTTACGACTAGTGTGCCAGGCACTTTGGCCTGTGGACAGCGTGTCATGGAACTTTTCAGCCACTACGGTCATGTGAGCCAAGTCTAACAAATCCATGCTCGTGTATGTGGACTCAGGTCCTGTGCTCTCAGTGGTGGGTGGTTCCACTGGTCCCTGGGCTGGATCTAGGGATGCCAAGGGAATTAGAAAGTACACCTCTGGCTGTGTCCGGGAGGGCATTTCCACAGAAGACTGACATGCGGCTTAGTCAATAGACTGGAGAAGACTCACGCTGAGTGAAGCAGCACCATCCAATAGGCTAGGGACTCAGATGGGGTGGGGGGAGGCACAGAGGGAAGCTAGTGCTCTCTCTTTCTTTCTCTCTGCTGGTATAGGGCTTGAACCCGGAACTGTCCCTTAGCTTTTTCACTCAAGGCCAGTGCTCTGATGCTTGAGTCACAGCTCTGCTTCCCACTTTCAAGTGGTTAGTTGGAGATAAGTCTCACAGTGCTGAGGATCAAACCTAGCTTCATGTATAATAAACAATCCTCCCCAGCCTCACAATTTTTAAATTATTTTGTTTCTGATGTTGAGGCTGGAACCCAAGGCCTAGCACATGCTAGGAAAGCCTTCTACCACTAAACTATAGCCTAAAACCCTGGTTTTGTTATTTTGAGAAAAGCAACTGTGTAGCCCAGGCTGGTATTGAACGTCAGATCTTCTGCCTCAGCCTTCTGAGAAGGGGAATTACAAGTATATGTCACCCATACCTGACCCCAGACCCCAGATTTCTAAATCAAATGTCTTCTGTTACTTCATTAGGATTAAAGAAGGATAAATAGATAACTAATGTAACATAGAACTTATAAACTATAGGCTGTTATTCAGCTAGAGCAAAAATGCTGTTTGTTTTGAGACAAACTCTCCTTGTGTAAGTCTTTCTTTTCCTTCCTTCCTTTCTTTCCTTCTTTCTCTTTCTCTCTCCCTCCCTCCTCCCTCCCTCCCTCTTTCTTTCTTTCTTGCTTGCTTGCTTGCTTGCTTTCTTTTGCAAGTCCTGGGGCTTGAACTCAGGGCCTGGGCACTGTCCCCTGAGCTTCTTTTGCTCAAGGCTAGCACTCTACCACTTGAGCCACAGCACCACTTCTGGCTTTTTCTGTTTATGTGGTGCTGAGGAATTGATCCCAGGGCTTCATGCCTGCTAGACATACACTAAGCCATATTTCCAGCCTCAGTCTTGAAATTGAGATCCTCTTGTCTCAGCTTCCTGAATGCTGGAATTACAGACATGTACCACCATACTGAGGCCAAAAGTGTCGACATGTATAGATTTGCGTTTGGGAAATGACAGTATCGTTGTGACAGTGAACTACGGCCATCCATCAGTCCACATTCATTTTTGCTTGCAAATCAGGGTCAGCTGATGGGATCTGAGATGGGCTCGGCTGTCTTGCCTGGCTAAACTGTGTCTGAGCAGGTTGGCGGTATTCTGGCCTCAGGGGCTGCAGTCTCATAAGGAATGTTTGGCTGTGCATCAGCTAGGATACGCTCTCCTTCCTGTGTTTTGGGTTCCTGATATCAGGCTAACGTTTTCACGGCAGAGGCAGGAGTCCAAAGAGAGCAGATGGGAGCAAAGCCTCTGCTATGGTTTGGCTATGGTTTGAGTGTGGCCAAAGGTTGTGTTCTGGAAGTTTTTTCTACAGTGGGACCTTTAAGACGTGTGACCTTCTGGAGCGTAACTAGGTCTGGAGGGCTCTTGGAGTGAGTTAGTTCGGTTTTTTTGGGTTTTTTGTTTTGTTGTTTGTTTTTCTTAATGCTGGTACTGGGGCTTGAATTCAGGGCCCCATTCTTGCCTGGTTTTTTCATTCAAGGCTGGTACACTGCCATTTGCACCACATTTCCATTTCTGGATTGTTGCTGATTAATGGAGATAAGAATTTCATGAGCCAGGTGCTGGTGGCTCATGCCTGCAATCCTAGCTACTCAGGAAGCTGAGATCTGAGAATCACGGTTCAAAGCCAGCCCAGGAAAGGAAGTCAGTGAGACTCTTACCTCCAGTAAACCACTAGAAAACTGGAAGGGTGCTATGGCTCAAGTGGTAGAACACTAGCCTTGAGCTGAAGAGCTGAGGGACAGCACCTAGGCCCAGAGTTCAAGCTCCACAGCTGACCAAAAACAAAGAGTTTTATGGACTTTCCCTGCCCAGGTTTACTTTGAACCATGATTCTCTAATCTAAGCCTTTCTTGAGGAGCTAGGATTACAGGTATGAGCCACTGGTGCCCAGCATGAGTTAATTGTGTGTTTTTTGTTTGTTTTGTTTTTTGTTATGGGGCTTAAACTCAGGGCCTGGGCACTTCCCTGAGCTCTTTTTGTTTGAGGCTAGCACTCTACCACCTTTGTGCCACTGCGCTACTTCCAGTTTTCTGGTTCATTGGAGATAGGAATCTCACAGACTTTTCTGCCCAGATTGGGTTTGAAGTATGATCCTCAGATCTCAGCCTCTTGAGTAAGTGTGAGCTGCCAGTGCCTAGCACATGAGTTAGTGAAGAGAGCAGATGTTACATAGGAAGTCCACCTGGAGTGCTTATCCCCCTCTGCACATGGCTGCTTCTGTTTCTGCTTTGCCGTGTTGTGGTGAAGCCAACAACCTCATCGCTAGGATGCCAGCACAACCACGCTCTTAGATCTCCAAAATTGCTGGGTACCGGTGGCTCACGCCTATCTGAGAGGCTGAGATCTGAGGCTCACAGTTCAAAGCCAGCTAGAGCAGGAAAGTCTCTGAGCTCTTATCTCAATAAACCACTCAGAAAACCAGAAGTGGTGCTGTGGCTCAAGTGGTAGAGCACTCCCCTTGACTGAAGAGCTGAGGGATAGCGCCCAGGCCCAGAGTCCAAGCCCCATGACCAGCAATAAATAAATAAATAAATACCTCCAAAATCCCCGTACTTTACAAAGTATCCAAGCCGAGAGGCAGTAGCTCACACACTTGTGCCATAGCCCAAGTGGCAGAGTATCAGCCTTGAGTGAAAAAAACATAAGGTTGACCAGGCGCCGGTGTCTTGTGCCTGTAATCCTAGCTGAGATCTAAGGATCACTGTTCAAAGCCAGCCCGTATAGGAAAGTCCATGGGACTCTTATCTCCAATTAACCACCAGAAAATGGGAAGTGGTGCTGTGGCTCCAGTGTAAAGTGGTAGAGTGCTCGCCCTGAGTTCAAGCCCCACAACCAATGACCAACAAAACAACAACAACAAAAATACATAAGGTTAGCTGGGTACTGGTGACTCATGCCTGTAATCCTAGCTACTCAGGAGGCTAATATTTTAGGACTGTGGTTTGAAGCCAGTCCAGGCAAAAAAGTTACCATGAGACTCTTTTTTTTTTTTTTTTTTTGGGTGGGGGGGGGAGGTCTAGTCGTGGGGCCTGAACTGGGCCTGGGCGCTGTCCCACAGCTCTTTAGCTCAAGGCTAGCGCTCTACCACTTGAGCCACTTCTGGCTTTTTTCTTTTTGCTTATGTAGGGCTGAGAAATCAAACTCAGGGCCTCATGCATGCAAGGCAAGCGCTCTACCACTGAGCCACCTTCCCAGCACACCCCCACCCTCATGAGACTCTTATCTCCAATGAACCACTCAAAAACTGGAAGTGGCGCTGTGGCTCAAGTGGTAGAGCTCTAGCCTTGAGCACAAAGAGGCTCAAGGACAGCACCCAGGCCCTGAGTTCAAGCCCCACAACCAAAAAAAAAAAAAAAAAAAAAAAAATAGAACATGAGTATCAGTACCGGTATCACTATAATAAGCAAGCAAGCAAACAGCAACATCAACAAACCCAGTCTTGGCTCTTTTGTTACAACAAAAAAACACTGTTGTAACTGTTAGAACTAGGCTCAGACCAGCATTGCCACTTCTGTTAGATCTTTTGTGCAAAGAAAGTCACAAAATAAGTTGTCATGTCCAAAACGAACTTTACAATGTTGGTGGGGGGGGGGGGCTGGGGGGAGGGAGGAAGGAGAAGGATTGGGATTAGGGGGGGAGGGGGGAGGCTGGGAAGGGATGTGAAGGATAAACAAAGGAGGAGGCTGCAATGCTTGGTAAGAAATGTACACATTATCCTGCCCATGTAACTGTAACTCCTCTGTACAGTATGTTCACAAATAAAATTAAATTAAATTAAAAAAAAAAAAAAAAAAAAAAAGAAAGTCACAAAATATAGAGATTTTATCTCTTTCTGCTAGGAAGTACAATTCTACTTTGGAAAGGAGGGCTGGAGAAATGGAGCCATTTTTGCAGTTCACCTAGCATCATCATTGAAGCCAGAAAGATTTTATCTAGCTGTTTGGAAGAACAATGGAAAGACATCCAAATATCTATAACTGAACTTCTTTTCTTTATAGACAGCAAGGGAGGTGCCAGAGCTTTCCATTTAGATCAGCGACTTCAAATTCTCACCATGGACAAATCTGAGAAGACAGATGTGGTTCTTCTTGCTTGTGGTTCCTTTAATCCAATCACCAACATGCACCTCAGGTTGTTTGAACTGGCCCGGGACTTCATGAATGGAACAGGTAGGAACAGTAACCCAAAGCAACTTGAAACTAGAGGACTGGCTGGGTGTCGGTGGCTCATGCCTGTAATTCTGCTAAGGAGACTGAGAACTGAGGATTGAGGTTCAAATCCAGCTCAGGCAGGAAATCCATGAGACTCTTATCGCCAATTAACCACCAAAAGGCCAGATGGAGAGCTGTGGTTCAAGTTGTAGAGTGCTAGCCTTAAGCATAAAAGCTCAGGGAAAGCACCCAGGCTCTGAGTTCAAGTCCCAAGTCTGGCACAAAACAACAATGAAAAAAAAACACAACAAGAAAAACTAGAGGGCTAGAAAGACGAGGTAAAACAATGTATTGTACTTTGAAAAAAACTTATTTGTTGGGGGGGTGGGGAGGGGTATGGGAAAGGATGGGAAGGGGAAACAAAGGAGGAGGCAACAATGCTTGATAAGAAATGTACTCGTTATCATGCCCATGTAATTGTAACCCCTCTGTACAGTATTTTCTTATTGTTTTTGTTTATCGGTCGTGGAGCCCAAACTCTGGGCCAGGGCGTTGTACCTCAGCTCTTCAGCTCAAGGTTAGTACTCTACCATTGCAGTTCAAAGCCAGCCCAGGCAGGAAAAGTCTGTGAGACTCTTATCTCCAACAAACCACCAGAAAAACGGAAGTGGCACTGTGCCTCAAGTTGGTAGAGCACTGGCCTTGAGCTGAAGAGCTGAGGGACAGTGCCCAGGCCCAGAGATCAAGCCCTACAACCAACAAAATAAATACAAATCTAATATGTTAGATGGGCACTGGTGGCTCATACCTGTAATCGTAGCTACTCAGGAGGCTAAGATCTAAGATCACAGTTCAAAGCCAGCCCTGGCAGGAAAGTCTGTGAGACTCTTATCTCCAGTAAACCACCAGAAAACCAGAAGTGGAGCTGTGGTTCAAGTGGTAGAATGCTCACCTTGAGCTGAAGAGCACAGGGACAGCAACCAGGCCCAGAGTTCAAGCCCTACAAAAAATCTAATATAACTAATAGCAACTCTTAACTCTGTCCAGGAAAATACAGAGTTATCAAAGGAATAATTTCTCCTGTTGGCGATGCATATAAGAAGAAAGGACTCATCCCTGCCCACCACCGGATCATCATGGCTGAACTTGCCACCAAGAATTCAAACTGGGTGGAAGTAGACACATGGGAAAGTCTTCAGAAGGAATGGGTAGAGACCGCGAAAGTGCTGAGGTAGGTATGGTACAATCCACTTTGTCACTTCGGGGAGAGGAGGGTGGGAATAAGAGCTACCACCAGCTTCCTGAGGGCAGAATCCAAGGCCTGCAGGACACAACAACTGAACACAGGTGTTCCTGAGCTTTCTCTTCTTTCAATGTAGCATAAATGTGCATGTTTGTAGTTTTTCAATAGCTCTGTTAGAAAGTACAGGAAACAAGTACAATGGCTCATGCCTGTAATCCTACCTACTTGAGAGGCTCAGATCTGGAGGATTGGAAGTTCAAGACCAGCCCAGGCAAAAAAAGAAGTCATTGAGTCTCATAGCTGGGCATAGTTTACACTCAGGATTCCAACTACTTGGGAAGTATAAATAAGGATCACCACTCAGGGCAAAACACAAAACTGCAGTCAAAAATGAATGAGAGCAAAATGGGCCAGAGAATGCCTAGCTAGCAAGCACAAGGCTTCAAGTTCAAAAACTAAATAAGTAAGTAAATAAATAAGGGAAGCCTGTCCTGTAGGGGTTACAGAAAGGGGCATCTGGTTAAGGAAGAGTGTCAGGCCATGCTTGTGCAAGAACAGGCCTGAACTTGATGTACTGCTCTGGGATGGCCCAGAAGGTTCCGCAGATCTCCTTGTCACACCTTTGAAAGTGATCTGGTTAAGTAAGCAACATGGAATTAGTTCTGTGATCTCCAGGGTGTTCTGAAAACAGCTGAAACTGCCAAGGAGGAAACCAAGTGCTCTGGGTACTTTGAGGGGGGCTCTGGGTGCTCAAGCATAAGTGTTAGAGCTGTGGGATGTGTGTACGTTCCTGCTCCTCAGTGGTGGTGAAGCTCAGGAACTTGCGTCTGCCCCTGCTGCACCTCTGTGCTGGTAAGGAGCAGGGACCCCAGGCATGGAACTGGACAGTGGGCTGTGGGACCTGGCAGTACACATGCCCTGTGAGATTCCTTGTCAGTTTCCATAGCCACAGCGTGATGATGGCCTCTGCCCCAGGTCTCTCAGGACACAGTCTCATCTCTCTTTCAAGGCCTGAGTTCAAGCCCCAGTACCATCACACACACACACACACACACACACACAGTATGCTGTGGACCAGCTGCTGAGGTTCAAACCTGGCTCTGCTGTAAAAAGCTAAAAAGCCTTGGGCAAATTGGGCAACTCCTCTCAATGGGGATCAGCAGTTCTAGAAAGGTGGCAACAACATCACTGCAACAGTCAAGATATGGGCTCTATTAAATTATTATTATTATTTTGTTGATGGTGGTGGTGGTGGAGGTCGTGGGGTTTGAACTCTGGATCTGGGCACTGTGCCTGAGCTCTTGAGCTCAAGGTGAGCACTTTACCACTTGAACCACAATGCCACTTCTGGCTTTCTGGTGGTTTATTGGAGATAAGTCTCACGGACTTTCCTGCCTGGACTGGCTTTGAACCCTGATCCTCAGATTGTAGCTTCCTGAGTAGCTAGTATTACAGGCGTGAGCCACCAGTGCCTGGCTTCTATTAAATTATTATTAAATGCCTCCTGCATTCCAGGGACTCTGCTAGAGCAACTCTAAACCATCCCTCCCATCCCCCCCCCCCCATTTGTGGCTATAATACTAGAAATGATGCAAGAGGTTGAGAAGATTCAATCAAACAACCTGTAAAGGATCTAGTGTGGGACATGATGCATGATAGACTGTTCATGTTAACACTGGTTATTTTGAGGCACACATACCTTAGACTAATGACAGCCACCAAATGTTGTGCTGCTGGGTTTTTCCTAGTAGTAGCCATCCTGGCTGGTGGTGGGACATTTTTAGTATCATCCTGCCTTCTCATTGGATCAGGCCCTTGTTGGGCATGTTCAGGGGGAATAGTACAGTACTTGGGGAGAGCAAGTGAGAAAGAGGAATTGGCTGTTGTTTTGTGGTTTTGTAGACATCATCAGGAGAAGCTGGAAGCCAGCCATTGTGATCACCAACAGAATTCACCTGTGCTAGAAAGGTCTGGGCGGAAGAGGAAGTGGACAGAACAAAGACAGAATTCTAGTCAAAAGAAATCCCTAGAGCCTACACCAAAAGGTTTGTATGTTCCACCAGGACTCATGGACTAGAAATTGCCCAGATTCAAAAGCTGAGCATCCTGCTTAGTTATTTTGATTTCACAATGCATACCTGGAATGGGGCCTGGAAAACGCCTTGTGCTGGTTTTATGTAAGAAGAAAGGGAGAATGAAAGGCATAACATAGCCACTTCTCTCCTGTAGTGGCCTTTAGTTTTGAGGTATCCTGGAGAATTAAACCCTCCTTTCCAACACATACACGCATACACACACACTCACATGCTCATTTAAACACAGATGGTTATTAGAAAAGCAAACCTTGAAGCTTGTTTGATTGTCCCAGGTGTGCCAAAGGTGAAGTTGCTATGTGGGGCAGATTTACTGGAATCCTTTGGTGTGCCCAATTTGTGGAAGAGTGAAGACATCACACAAATCGTGGCGGACTATGGCCTCATATGTATCACTCGGGCTGGGAGTGATGCTCAGAAATTCATCTATGAGTCAGATGTGTTGTGGAAACACCAAAGCAACATCTACCTGGTAAACGAGTGGATCACCAATGACATCTCATCCACGAAGATCCGGAGAGCCCTCCGAAGGGGCCAGAGCATTCGCTACTTGGTCCCAGATCTTGTTCAAGAGTACATTGAAAAGCATAATTTGTATAGCTCTGAGAGTGAGGACAGAAATGCGGGGATTGTCTTGGCCCCTTTGCAGAGAAACACTGCAGAAGCCAAGCCATAGCCATCCTGCGGCAGGAAGGTTTGGATTGCTCTCTCGGAGGTTTGAAACTATCTGGTGGAGTCACTAAGGGAAGGAAAGTGATCCTGTTTTATCTTCTAAAGCTTTGAAGTGTGACAAACATCAGTAGGCAATTAAATGAGATTTGGCTTTTTTCTGAACCAAGTTGCTAAAATGATTGGTTTTATTAAGACTTTTTTTCCCCTCAAAGAATGTACAAATTACCAGGCATTCATGGCCTATAATCTTAGCTGTGCAGGAGGCTGAGATCTGAGGACTGAAGTCAAAGGCAGCCTGGGCAAGAAAAGTTGGTAAGACTCTTAACTTCAATTATTCACTAAACAGCCAGAAGTGGAGCTGTGGCTCAAGTAGTAGAGCATCAGCTTTGAGTGGAGGAAGGCCAAGCAAGAGTGTGAGGCCCTGAGTTCAAGCCCCAGTACTGGCACACACAAACAAAAAGCTTATTGATCCCTTTGTTTTTTAAATAAGAGATTAAAGCTCATTAAAAAGAATAAATCTTACTAGAAACTAATCTTACTCGATAAAGAACATGATGGCTCCACTACACAAGACTGCAAGGTATGAACTAAGTATAACTTTAGCCAGGCTCAGCAACACCTGCCTATCATCCCAGCTACTCTGGATGCTCAATGAAGGGTCATAAGCTCAGGAACTGGAGACCAGCCTGCATAGCACACTGAACCCCCATATCAAAACCAAACAAACAGAATGATGAAAGGTGTGACATCAAGCAAGATGCATTGTACTTATAAACTGTTTTGTTGAAAGATAACCCTTTATATAGCTACTTAAAGATAATAAAAAATATAATTAGAAAAACCCCAGATTTCAAACTTTTGTTATGAAGTGCAATGAGATTAGATGCAGGCCTAAAGCTGTGCCATCTTAGGATGCACAAAAAAATTATTAAAAAAAATAATCTTAAGCCAGGCATTGGTGGCTCATGCCTGTAATCCCGGCTACCCAGAAGGCTCAGATCTGAGGCTTGTGGTTTGAAGCCAGCCTGGGAAGGAAAGTCTGTGAGACTCTTATCTCCAATTAACCACCAAAAGGCAAAAAGTAGAACTGTGGGGGCTGGGAAAGTGGCTCAGTGGTAAAGTGCTTGCCTTGCATGCATGAGGCCCTGGGTTCGATTCCTCAGCACCACATACACAGAAAAAGTTGGAAGTGGGTGCTATGGTTCAAGTGGTAGAGTGCTAGCCTTGAGCTGAAGAGCTCAGAACAGTACCCAGGCCCAGAGTTCAAGCTCCAGGACCAGCAAAAAAAAAAAAAAAAGTAGAACTGTGGTAGAACATTAGCTTTAAGTGATAAAACTCGCAGACCACACCCAAGCCCTGAGTTCAAGGTCTTGAATACTTTTCCTGAGATTTTTTGTTCAGAGTGAAGGAAGCTTCTTCTTCTTCTTTTTCTTGGTCAGTTGTGGGGCTTGAACTGTGGGCCTGGGTGCTGTGCCTAAGCTCTTCAGCTCAAGGTCAGTGCTCTACCACTTGAGCCACAGCGCCACTTCCAGCTTTCTGATGGTTGATTGGAGAGAACCTCACAGACTTTCTTGCTCGGGCTGGCTTTGAACCGTGATCCTCAGATCTCAGCCTCGTGAGTAGGTAGGATTACAAGCGTGAGCCACCAGTGTCTGGCTAGGAAGCTTCTTTCTAGACTTGGATTTCTAGGGCTGTGCCAATCCTGTAAAATCATGATGATCTCTGAGGTCCCTCTCAGATTTGAAATATTATCACCCTGATAGAGAGTTGGCACTTGGAACTAGCTTCTCAACTTCTGAGCCTTACCTGCCTCTTCCCTTCTGCTTGACCCGGAAGTGTTTCTTGGAGCGCCCTTACTATGCAAAGAGCCACCTAAGTGGCAAAGCATGGCCTCTGCCACCAAGCTGCTAACAGTCTAGAGAGAAGAAAATTGCTGGCGATTGAGCATCAATCAGGAACTTTCCAGAACTCATGAAATCTTCAGAGAGAGAGAGAATGAGAGAAAGAGAGAGGGGCTGGCGCATGCGCCCTCTCTCACTCTCTCGCTCTCTTTCTCTCTCTCTCTCTTACCCTTCCTGAGCCCTAGAGGATAGGAAACAGGAAAACAGGAAGGACTTCCTTCCAGGAAAGCAGCAGAAAGATCTTATACTAAAAATATTTTATCAGCAATTCAAGGAGGCCTGGTTTTGTTTGTTTTGCTGCTAACTTGCAACCTTAGATGAGGAGGTGGGAAGGACAGCATTGTGCGCTGTGAGGAAAGCATCATCAGGGGAAGCATCTGACTAAGGCAGAGGCTGTTCGTGACGTGTGCAGCACCGGGAGGCTTGGTGGGGCTGGATAAGCTTTTGGCCTGGCATGTGGCGGGCAAGACCCCATATTCCAATTTGACAAGTCTTCAGAGACAAGCCCTGCTCTTCATGTTGCCTTTCTGTGAACCTCCCACTTCAGGTTCAGATCTGGCTTTCAGCTCCTTCTCAGTCTTGTGGGTCTCACCATGACTAAGTCACTTAACATGGACCTATTTCCCAGCTAGAGGTAAGACACCCAATGAGGCTTTCAAAACTAAACAATAAAGGCTGGGAAACTGGCTCAGTGGTAGAGTGCTTGCCTTGCATGCATGAGGCCCTGGGTTCGATTCCTCAGCACCACATAAGCAGAAAAAGCTGGAAGTGGCACTGTGGCTCAAAGTGGTAGAGCGCTAGCCTTGAGCTGAAGAGCTGAGGGACAGCGCCCAGGCCCAGAGTTCAGGCCCCATGACCGGCAAAAAAACAAACAATCAAAACTAAACACTATGAGAAATGTCAAACATACACAAAATTAACAAACCCCCATGTAACCACCAACGCCAGTCAGCATCTTGTTAATTTTGTATCCATTCCTTCGTCCCTGCCCAACTACACACACCAAGGTGGGTTCTTTTACTGCATTGCTGTTTTGAAGGTGGTTTTTTGTCTTGTCTTGTTTTATGACAAGGTCTTGTTATTTTTCCCAGGCTGGTTCTGAACTCCTGGGCTCAGAGCTGTGCCTCTCAAGTAGCTAGGTCTATAGATATACATAACCATATCAGGTTTTGTGCTGGTATCATCTAAAGAAAATCCTATATGTGTGATTTCATTTATAAATACTTAAGTGTGGAGAGAGTGGCACTGTGACTCAAGTGGTAGAGTGCTCACCTTGAGCTGCAGAGCTCAGGGACAGCTCCCAAGCCCAGAGTTCAAGCCCCACAACTAACCAAGATAAAAAAGAAGGAAAGGAAGAAGGAAACATTTTGGGCTGGGAATGTGGCTCAGTAGTAGAGTGTTTGTCTAGCATGCATGAAGCCCTGGGTTCCATGCCTCAGTACCACATAAACAGAAAAAGCTAGTAGTTGTGCTGTGGCTCAAATGGTAGAGCGCTAGCCTTGAGCTGAAGAGCTGAGGGACAGTGCCCAGGCCCAGAGTTCAGGCCCCACAACTGACAAAAAAAAATTTTAGGAAGTGGCACTGTAGCTCAAGTGGTAGAGCGTTCGCCTTGAGCTGAAGAGCTGAGGGATAGCGCCTAAGCCCAGAGTTCAAGTCCCATGACCGACAAAAAAAAAATTAATAAATAAATAAAATGAATAAATACTTAAGTGTGGGGAATGCTTGAGACTCGTCTGTTCATTAAAGCAATAGTACACACCTAGCTACTCAGGAAGATTGAGAATCATGGTTCAAAGCCTGCCTGGGCAGGAAAATCTGTGAGACTCCTTATTTCCAATTGACCACCAGAAAACCAGAAGTGGAGCTATGGCTCAAAGTGGTAGAGTGCTAACCTCGAGGAAGAAGCTCAGAGACAGCACCCAGGCCCTGAGTTCAAGCCCCACAGCCAACAACAACACAAATAGTACAGAGCCAGGCACTAGTGGCTCATGCCTATAATAGCTCCTCAGACCACTGAGATTTGAGAATAGCAGTGTAAAGATAGTCTAGGCAGAAAAGTCTGGGAGAGTCCATCTCCAATTAACCAGCCAAAAGCTGGAAGTGGAGGTGTGTGTCAAATAGCAGAACATCAGCTGTGAGCAAAACAGCCTCCCCTGCCTCCTTCCCCCTACACACACACACACACACACACACACACACACACAAGGAAAAGGAAAAAAATTATTCAGTCAGCCTCAGGGTCTGAAGAAATGCATATCAGGGAAATCTGAGTGTGGAGGTCACATTCAATAGTTTGGCACAGAGATCTTGATGGTCCCAGTGTTTACTTTTTGTTTATGCTTAGCTCTGATGGGAAACAGTCTTGTCTTTGGTTCTTCAAGGTAGACTTTTGTTTTGTGAAAGTATCTTGTTATGTAGCCTGGGCCAGCTGGCCTCAACCTTCCAAGTGCTGGCATTGCAGGTATGTACCATCATGCCCCTCTGAAAATAGAATATTTCAAGTCCAGGGTTTCTCACAATTAATAGGATTTACACTAAAGCAAAAGGCCTGTTTGCAGCCATACTACAGTCACAAAGTAGTATTTTATGTCACTTAGAATACAGCTTGCTTTGAATCCACAGCTAAGTTAAGAACTGAACTATCATTTTGACCTCAAATAGATAAAATGCAGGTCAGATGCCTAAGAAGAAAGAGTATGTGGATTTTATAGGTTTGCTGGGTCAGGATGTTTTTCTACCACAAAGAAAAGAAAACTCCAACAATAAGGACATTTGTTCACAGAAGCACAGATGTAGGGCAGGAGTGGGGTTGGTGGGTGGGTGAATCAACAGGGTCATCAAGGTCCCAGGTTCTTTCCCATCCTCTGCTCTGCTAGTTGCCATGTCCTACATCCAGTGCCCTTTCAGGTACAGGGCTGTCACCAGTGTCTTGAAGAAACAGAGCAAGTTGAATGTTTGTGTGTAGAAGTGAAGAAATACTGGGTCTGGGTGGCTCTTTGTTAAAAAATCAAGTATCTTCCCTGTAGCCCTGTGAATGCTTCCATCATATCTCCAACTGGCTGATTCCAATCATTAAAAACTGTATTCCTGGGGCTGGGAAGGTGATTCAGTGGTAGAGTGCTTGCCTTGCACGTATGAGGCCCTGGGTTCGATTCCTCAGCACCACACACATAGAAAAAGCCAGAAGTGCTGCTGTGGCTCAAGTGGTAGAGCGCTAGCCTTGAGCTGAAGAGCTGAGGAACAGCGCCCAGGCCCAGAGTTCAGGCCCCACGACCGACCAAAAAACAAAAAACCCACTGTGTATCCCAAAAGCCAGTCCCTGGCAAAGAACGTAGGTTTTTGTGATTAGACTAACCTTAAACTAAGTTGGGTCTATCCC